GGAATATACGTCGATACATTTCTGAAAGTAAAATTCCTACAACGTGTGCTGCAAGCGCGGACACTGTGAGTGGCATTGAAAAACAAAAGTGCCGGCACAAGTAGGAAGACAAGTGGCCGCGACGTGGATGAGAAAGCTGACCGTCGCGAGATATGTTAGAAGTACGAGGTGCATTCAATTCTTGGAAATGCGTCGCCGTCCGCAGAACGGCGGAGCGGGGATGGAGATTCCGCGGAGTGCAAAGGGCGATTGAAAATGTTGGCGACGGTCCAACGGGAGAGGGACTCATCTTATTCGGGCTTCGTACACATGCTAAAAACGTCCCCTTATCTGTAATATTACTTCTACGAATACATTCGACAAGAATGTAATATCGGGAATATGTGAACAGGACAGTAGTAGAAACCAAGCTGTCACTTGCAAAACTCGAGATATAATATCTCGCTATAATGGCGCATATTGATGAAAATATGTTACACCGACGGAATTTAAATTATACAAAAGTTATCATACGCAAGCTTCCGATTATGATTCATTGATCGCAATTAATGTATTAAAAATGTCCTACTACATATTTAGATGAATTTTACGTACCGAAAGACACCGGTGCAAAAACTTTTCATTGTCAGATTTTTTTTACGCAACTCTATGCTCTTCGAATTTGAATAAGAGAAAGAGGAGCGATGTAAAATGTATCGCGTACGAAGGCGAAGAGCGGTTATGGCAATTCTAACTCGCAGTTTTATAATTATACGAAGAAATATGTTAGATCATATCTGGGAAAGTTCTCGCGTGTACGATGAGTGTCAAGCAAATTTGTAACGCCTCTCGGACAGGCGTCGTATCGTGCCGACCCGCCGTTTTAGAAAACCGATGCGGAGCCGGGCAGAAGCGGGGACAATTACGCCGTCCGCCGGCGCGCCGTGGCTAGTTGAAAAACTGTAACTTTACACGGCGCGTTAAGTACGTGTAACAACCACCCGCAATTATGCGCTAGGCGACAAACGTGTAAATAAATGTGCATCTCTATGCGTGCATATGTGCGCACGCTTCAGAGCGCGGGATGACTCACGAGTGTCCCAACTATTGTGCGCCTACGCAAAGCGAAGCGCATGACATACTGCAAAGTCAGTCCTGTGAAAGGTACAATGTTAAAATATCTAGGTACAGTTACTTGAATAATAAAATAGCCAGAGATACAGATAACGATACGTGCTACACGGGCTCTGTTTAGCGGCGTGCTCTGTACCGCAATCCTCTCCTTTCTTCTTTCTTCACTTGTACATGTTTACTTTAAAACAAAAAAAAAAAAAAAGCGCAAAAAAATACAATTACAGGAAACAAGTTTCTTTCGTATCTAAATAAAAATCTAATATAAATTACTTTGTAAACAGTTTAAAAATGAAAAAAGAAGAAAATTAAATTCGCCAGTTTTATAAAAATGTTTCGATAATTAGAAGAAATAAGATAAAGATAAACTCGTAACGGTACTTACATATTTAACAACGCGATGCTTATAGACTTACGCCATAATTGCGCCATAATTAAAATTGTGAATGGGAAGAAATTGAAGGTCACGCTGCGGTGAAAGTACAGCGATCGAGTGTACGATAAGTACGCTTGCTAATCAAAGATGAATGAAAGCCAGTCAAAGCGAATGTATTTTGTATTTAATATCCGGTTTAATCCCATATTTATTCCCATATTTATTCCCCGTTATAGCGTAATTGATGTAAATTTTTGAGAAACATGCAATTAACGCCCAATTATGAATAAAATTAAAATCCGGCGTCTTAATGTATGCTGAACATTACTGTCGTCATTTACTCAACTTGATTTGCATTGATTTAACTTGCAAAGCGACAAAGTTATTCCAACTCGAGATTAACTTCTACATATTGCCGTCATTATAAGCGTTGCTATCCAGCACTTTATAGCAAAACAGGATTGATTAGCACATTTAAAAAGTTATTAACAGCTATGCGGAAGGAGTGTAGTTTACTTTTCCTTATTTATGTTTTCATCGAGCCACCTGCGACGGCGAGATTACGCCTTCCGAAACAGGTTTTCATACCGCGTTCGCAGTGACATTCGCCGTTGTGGATCGCTGAATGTCTAGCCGCACGTAGAAAAGGAATCTCATTGCCTTTGTTGGCGCACCGGTGAAAGGGGCCGGGAGAGAAGGGGGAGGGTCGCTCGGGGGAGTCGAGATTATACATCAGATTCAGCGCACCGACGGGGGACGTCGTTGCCGATGCCACTTGAGCTCGAATCGTATCTAAATGTACCTCGTATATCAGAAATCGAACTGTTCCTCCGGTGCTCCGGCCAGGTTTACGTACGTCATTTCGTGGGATGGCCGCGCCGCGCTGCATCGTATGCCGCGCTACTCCGTCGCAGATGCGCCCCGACCGTTTCTCGTGCTTCGCGACATCGTGACAAGCCGCGTGTGGAGAAATTTTCCTCGCCTTCCTCTCCCCCCCTTGCGCCGTACGACCGACTCGCGGGACGTTTCGAGTATTTATGATAGGAATACAAGATGCGGCGGGAGATTCGCCGAGCGGATGAAACGTTAGTTCGCGTCACGACGCGTTATCAAGGCATTTCTATTGCCGCCGACGCGAATCCACGGCGAAGACAAAGTTCGTAATTCATGATTATCATTGCGATGAGAGTCGCCAGGTGTTCGCGCAACAAATCATTTTCTCGTGCATAAATACGACTTTTTACACTTTTTCCGTCAGAAGTGTCATTGAGATATTAAAATGCCAAAAATCATAATTTTAAATACCGTGGCGGTCACGTTTCATCAGTACATTTTAATAAATGGATTTCGCAGCGTTCATTAAGATTGCATTAGCACGAAGATTGAAGTAACGGTAACGCGTTGAAATGTCTTTACGTTTCTATTAGCAAATCCAATCTGTAGATGCTAACTTTGCATTAACTCCTGCATTATGAATTTTGATTAACGGTCAACGACGAATTTATGTATGAGCCGACAGATATCGATTTCTCTTGAGGCGCAAAATCCGGTGCACGCGATTCGCGTGTTTTTCACGACACGATGAGCGATGTGGGAACTCTAAGTGGTTAAACGAACGGTGAAAAACACTGAGCGACACTGTTAATGGATAGTAGTACGGTATACCAGCAGCCGGCATCTTTCCGCGGGCCGGACGTAACAAATACGCGCTTTAAAACGGCGGAATTGATCGGCATCGGGGAGTCGGCGCGATGCTTCACGCACGCCGTGCGTATATGCCCGGCTTCGCGGTAAATCGGTAAATTGCGCTTCGTGCCGATCGAAATAACGATTTCACGCTTTTCTAATTGGCCCCGGACAGAGGTCACAAATCATATCTCGAAGCGCGAGAGTGGAGAATCCTTTTGCTTTCTTAACCACCATCACTGTTATTATCCCGTCTTCCTCATCCCCGCCTCTCCCCTTTGCGTCCCACCCTTGTTTTCCCTACTTTAACGGATTCTGAGTCGCGCGGTTACGAAAGAGTTATCAGAGGATGGAAAAGAACGGGAAGCGGCGGGAAGCGTGGGTGGTGAGATAGGTAGATGGGAAGTTAAACAAAACACTCCGGATAAAGTTCTGTTGAAACCTACCAAGTGCTTTTTAAGACCCGACCGTGCGCCATTATAAACATTATAAGAAGTAAGTGGTACCTGTCCTCTGCGTACGAGCTCCCGGAAGCATCCAGGCATCCACGATCATAATGCGACGTACGCCTCGAGAGTCCACAATAAGTAACATCTTCCTATAATTTGAAGTTTCACGGGTAATTCGACCGCGGTCGGCCGCCGTAAAGAATCCATCTATGCCGTGGCCGCAACCCCGACCACAATCTCGCGCACTCGCCATTAAAAACAGGCAACGGCATTAGCCTGCACGGCCTCGTAAGGCGTGACCCGCTGATGGCGGATAATTGAATATCTTTAGCGCCTCTTTGAAGATCGACGCGCCGCGTTCCGATTCGTCCCGCTTCAGAAAATCTCCCTTCGTGTGCTCTTCCCTCTCGCAATCTCTCAAGTACCCTTCGGTATCCTAATGGCTTATTATGCGATCCCTTTTCAGCTGCGCGAGTTTTTTTTTTCAGCTTGACACGCGCGAATGTATTTTTTTTTATTAATACGTTTACGCGCGAGGCATCAACATTCATGTTTCTTTTCTCCGGTTAATCTACATAGCGTTGGATCTAAACTTTTATAAATGGCGGAAAACATGTTTGAAGTATCTCGCGATTCTAAAATATTCTATTAAATTATCTATTCTTTTATTATTATTATCTCTCATTTTTTCCCTGCTTTATTCTTCTCT